AGCGCTTGAAGAATGGACGGTCCTCGAGGACAGCCACACCTAAGGAAAGGAGCATGCATGGCCCATGTCCTAACTGCAAACAAGCATGCAAAAACTGCATTGTTTCAAGCTGGACGGCCTTGGTCAAAGTCTTTCGTTGCGAACAGAGAGAGCCCTCGGCCCACCACACCTTAGGACTCTCCACAAGGTCGACCTTCTGAGATTCTGCGTCCCGATCCCTATGAGACTGCCTTTCTCTGAGCTGTGAGGAGGCACGGCGGATCTGCGTCCCCTGCTCCACCTCGCAGGCGGTTTCCAAAGGAGCCAGGAGGGCACCTGATATCGGAGCAGAACTGCTTCCACCCCTAAGATACTCTGACCTAGCTTGCGGACCATGCACCAAGACCCAGCGAAGCACCCGAAATTAACAGCCACGCCATCCTGCCACGAACAGGCCAGAGACCCACAGGCAGCATTAATCAGTCACTCAAGCTCACTTTTCCACCTGTACATTCGTCTTTCTGTCATACCACGCCTCTCCGGCAACTCCTCCAACTGTGCAACACCTCTGCTGCAGGAGATGCTGAAGCGGAAATCTGGCATCTTGTTTCAGTAAAGCAGCCATCTTGTCCGCTGATTCGAACATAGCCAGACTTGTGGCCTAAACGCATCCTGCGGCGAGATTGCAGATGTCCAAACAGACATCAAAAGCAGGAGCAGGCCCAGGAGGCCCAAGTACATAGCATGACCACAGTCCAGTTACCCTCACGGCGGCCCAGCAGCGGTGAAGCTCGCTGAGGAATGTCCTACGCCACTTCCCTTATGACTTATGACCGACATGTCTGAATCCATGGCTCTGGGCCCACAGAAACAGTGACAGAAGTTAATTCCCAGCATCTTCAACACACTGTCACTAACAGATTCCATCATCTCTCCTGGTGGTTTGGTCGGTATACTTAACACTGAGCGCGTGAGATGTCTGGAGAAGGTCCTAAGCAAGATACTGGGCACAGCGCTTCCAAACATTCGCCTTTGCCTTGGGGCTCTTGTCGCTGCATTGCTTCTACGGCCGTCTATATCATGTTCATGCCGATGCAACCGTCTGCAGTCCTTGATCTTGCTGTCGTCCTCCTGCATGCAAGGCTCAGCCAGGGACTTATAACAAAAAACCTTATATGTTTGCAGGCGATCCTGAGTCCGGCAAAGAGCCACCTGACAGGTTCAGGCTGCTCAGGAATTCTGCAGCAAAGCACCAAGTGCTGGCCTGAGGGGACAGGATTCGCCACTCATGTGGAGCATGTTCTGCCATCGACCTCAGTACGCCCGACATCGCTTAAAGTAACAATGAATCGTCTCGGTATCTGGCCCTCCCAAAGCCTCGTTCAGTTGGACACAGAGCCACCTGTGAGAAGGCGTCGACATCAGAACAGAATCCAAAGCCTAATAAGCTGGGCTCCTGGCTGCGTTCCCGCAATTTCACGACAGAAACCTCGCACAAGGCGGCCCCGCACAAGGACCTCAGCAGAGAACACACCACCGCACCACCAACCACCACCGACCATGACGGCCGCAACATCATCCCATCCGTGACATGGTTTTGCCAAGGAGCACCCAACGCCTCGCGCACATATGCGAGCATAATTTCAGCCAGCCAGCATGGACACCAAAAAAGGGCTTACATGCATCTCGAACTGACATGCTGGCTTGCTGCTCCAACTTCGTAAGGGGCAGAGTCATTTCCCAAGACAAACAGCCACAATTGAACCATTGTCTAAAACTCCTAGCCTCCCCCTTAATAATCCTTATGCCTATGATAATCCCCTATATAACCCCCTTTAAGGAGCGCAAATTATTGCTCAATTGCCAACAGACAAACTGCCACAATTGAGCTTAGGTTTTTAAGCCTATAATGCCTATATGATTTCACCACAGAAACTACCCCTTCCACGAAGCCCTTCTGCGATCCTTCCGCGAGTAGCGCTTGTAGTC